GAGGAAAGGCCTAAAAGAGTATGTAGGTTGGCTATTTGAATTTGTGTAGGTAAACAGCATCATAAAAGCTTATAACTTGCCTTATTGTGCCTCAACAATGCCTGTGAATTGCCAGGAGATTCCTAAAGCCTTCACAAATCCCTACACAAAATAAAGAGTCCAGTTTAGGTCCAAAATGAAGCGGGCAGGCAGAGCTGTACCCATTCCACCATAGCCCCTCCTCCTCAACGTACCCTGTACTGGGCTCTGCAAAGGATGAGGCCTAGACCTCAGAGCAGATACTCCCAGTGTAAGCATCAAACCCATACCTACCAGGAACTGGGGAGGCGGGTAGCTCAGATATACCTGTCAGAAAAGGAGCGTGAGCAAAACAGAAGCACACAGTGTTAAGGGAAGAGAATCCTCTACCTTTAAATTCCTGCATTTCAGCCTTTTGAAAAAGAATGGCAGGGATCTAGCCTGTTCCCTGAATGTGATCTAGGAGAGCCCACAACTCAAAAATAAGACCCTGCTGTTGTTTCACAGAGAGGAGCACCTCGGTGAGTGAGCAACCCCCGGGCACTCAGTCGCAGTTTTTATGAGCCTCCCTCTTTCCAAATGTACTCTTTCCCTTCAGAGGATGAAAATAAACCTGTTTATTCCTAAGCCAAATGACTTCAAATATGTCCTTTTAGTGTACATTTATAAGTATTTTATATGGGGGATAAAAGGAGAGAACCAATTCCAAGTTTTCTTTCCAGAGGCTTCTAAATACCACTCAGTATTTATTGATTAATGAAAAAAGCTAATAAAACTTTCATTTTTGAAAACAAAAAGTTAAAAACAAATAAGAAACTTTTATTTTTTCGTATCTTATTTTGAACTGTAATAAGTTAATCAGAAATAGTTTATCTTTAAAAATAGTCTATAAATAGAGAAAAAGATATGGGTAGAAAATAGTTATATCCAGTGGTTAATTTGGCACAATACAAAGTAGAGGGAAATTTTAGCTGGGTTTCAAATTAATTAAAATAGTAAACTTATAGGAAAATAAAATTTTAGTACTTAGTAAGTGATAGAGTTGTTATCACTGTTTATGGCTGTCTCTCCTACTAGACTGTGAGTTGCCTAAGATCAAGGACTAATGTCAACAGTTTTTCCAACCCTTTGATTCCTAACACAGAACCTCAAGCATTAGAGGTATTTTGTAAGAGAAAATGTACTTGTAGTTGACAGTATCTTGTGATAACTTTTGAATGACATTAGTTCTAAACTTGTAGGGTTCAAAATGATGGAATTTGGGGTTCCTAACATACTATAGAGCCAACAGGCAGCTGGCTGATCTCCTTTCTGATATGGAGCCAAACGTGGAAGCAATTTGATCATTCCTTTTTAATGAATGCAACATGGCATTGCTCATCTTGAACTCAGAAAACCCAAGAACCAGAGACCTGATCTGAAGAAGAAGGACCGATAAGCCTCCAGCACACAGTTCATTCTTTTCCAGTAGCATTAGAGCAGCACTGTGGTAGAGGGTGCAAGTTTTAAAGCCAGGTGGCCGGGTTCCATGATATTACTAATCCCTTCTGAGTTACATGATATTGCTAATTAATATTTTCTGATCTTAAAAAATATCAAAACTTTTGTGTGTCGGTGTGCCATGCATATTTATCTTCCTGTATACTAACTGAATCCTTTTTTAAAAGCAGTTGCTTCTCAGACTTTTTTCCTGAGGTCATTTTCATTTTTCCTGAGGCATGTTCCCTAGTAGTCCCATTATTGAAAATCAGTTGAATGTGCTCAGTTTTTGTAAACCTGGAAGGGTCTTTATTTTGCTTTCATTGTTGAAAGAGAGTTCCACTGTTACATCATACAAGATTGATGTTTATTTTCTCTCCATAATTTGAAGATATTTTCCTACTGTCTTCTACCTTCCATTGTTGCTATAAAGAGGTCTAGTGTCAGTCTATTTGAAGTTCCTTTGTAGGTGATCTGTCTTTTCTTTGGCAGTTTTTAAGAATTTTTATTATTGGAGTTCTGCATTTCCATTACAAACATATAATTATATATTTCGTTCCATTTATCCTGCTTGATATACATTGTTCCTCTTGTGTTTATTGATTCATATCATCTCAGCCATTAATTTAATTCCCTGAGTAGACATGTTAAACCTTTTCATCTCTATCTTGCTCAACCTCTTTATATTTTTTATCTCCTGTCTCTGCAACATTGTAATTCCTTATTTATATATCTTTCAGCTTGCTAATTCTCTCAACTGTACCAAGTTATTTAACTTTAATAATTAATATTTTCATATCTAAAAGTTCTGTTTTATTCTTTGAAAAACCTACCTAGTAATTTTTATTGTATCATATTGTGTGTTTATTTTCAGTATAAATATCATATTCTGAGTTATTTTATATTCTAACTTTAATAATTCAATTATCTGAAACCCATGGATATATAAACCTGTTTATTTTCTAATTTTCCATTATGGTAGCTTGTTTCCTTGTGTATTTGATGATCCTTGTGAGCTCATATTTGCTTTATTTTAATTTATAGTAATCCTGGGGGCTTGTATCAAAAGTACTTTAATCTAGACATGAATTTTTAAATTGTTTCTGCCAAAGTTTAATAACGTAGGAAAATTTTTGCTCCTGCCTTAATCAGAAGACTCAGACTTATTAGCACCTTTAACCTTAAAACTTGTTCAAGGTCCAGTTTCCTGAGGATAATAGCCCTGAGTGTAGCTCTGCCTTGCCTTCCCCAACCCCCATTTGTTCTCTGCTCAGGGATCCTCACTCTAGTTTCAATCAGGGATTTTGTTGAAGATTTCCTTTTTTTTTTAGGGTCCTGTGATATATTCTAACATATATTTTATAGCAATCTAGTTGGGATCTTCTTTTGGTACTTCTGGTAAACCAGGTTGCCAGATACCAATGCCATTTCTTTTATTTTTATCATAATGTTCATCATTACCTCTCATCTAGAATGAAGAGTACATCCTAACTTGTCCCCCTAATTTCACTCTCTTGAATTTCAATGAGTCATATATGTGGTTGACAAATTGATGTATCAGTGGACATATTAGCCATGTTTAATTTTAACTGCCTGGAAGAGAGATGGATCCTAGAGATTTGTGAGTCACTGATGTAATTACCCATGCCCTGGGAGTGGGTAATGTTCTTGGGAGACTGGAGTAAATATAAGTAAAAGCAGACCATAGTATGCCAACTCATGGAGTAGACAGAGAAAAATGAACTAGGAAAGAGGACTAAGAAGATGAAATCTAAGAAATGGGAAAACAAAGCATAGCACTTGCAAATGCAGGAAAGAGAGGCTTTCAAGGAGGGGAAGTTTACAGAGTCAGAGGTGGCCCAAGGGCACACACAATGAGAACTGACCATTAAGTTTATCATTAGAAGAAGATGGATGATTACTATTGCCAGGAAAGTTTCACTGGAATGGGAGTAAATGCCAAGTGGCAGTGAATGTATGGAAAAGTAGTACAACTTGCTCATCCTCTGTCCTCTGCTTCATTACATCCCACCCCCACTGAATTTATAAGGAACCAGGAGCTTCCAGGAACAAAAATAAACACAATTGCCTTCTGATCTCCTGTAGTTGAAATGTATTCAGGTAAATGCTGGAGATACTAGTAAGAAGGGCCAAGAACAGATAACAGTCATCAAACATAACATGGAAACTGAAGTGTTTACAGTTCTGGACCTACCAGCTCCTGTGTTATAAGAATAAGCCTTGTTTGTTTGAATTTTAATTTCTTTAGCTATTTTACTAATAAAATTTGTATAATCTGTTAATATTCCATACTTCCTATATGTTTTATTTGAAATATGATAAAATAGAGAACAGAGAACTTGGTAATTTACCTGCTCATTTCTAGAGTCAGAAAAATTGACAGTTTTACCTATGTAAATCTCAGCCTTCGTGCAAAATAAAGAAGGTCTTTCCTTCCAAAACCCTGTGCAGAGTTGATCCTGAAACAATATGGCTTTAAACCACAAAGGGGTCCACTTATATGCAGATTTTTTTTTCAATAGATACAGTGGGTCCTCCATGGGTTTTACATCCATGGATTTAACAAACTGCTGATTGAAAACGATATTTTCTGTCCATGGTTGGGAATCTGCAGATGTGGAGGGCTGACTATATGCATTACACTGTTTTATATGACACGTGAGCATCTGCAGATTTTGGTATTGCGGGGGTTCCTGAAACCAGTCCTCCCATGGATAACAAGGCCCAACTGTAGTTAAGCTTTGGGGGAGTCAAAGTTAGAGGTGAATTTTTGGCTCTGTGGGGGTTGGCATCCCTAACCCCCAGCTGTTCAACAGTCAACTGTACGTGTTCATGACATACTTTCCCCTCAATATCTTGAACTTTCTATAAAGCTAACTAATTTAAATTTCAGTTTCTTCTCATTTATCTGAGCCTAAAATTAAACTTACTCAAAGAAAATTATCAAAATTATGCTTTAGGGGAAAAGAAGATTGAAAAAAGAGTAGAAAAGAATTATTTTTAAAAAATAGTTAGAAACCACTTATATTGTCATTTTACAACAGCCTAAGATGTATTTTTTTAAAAACTCACAAATGACTCTTGTCAATATTTGACTTCTCAACTTTTAACTTAGGCGCACAAAGTATAATTAAAGTGTTAATTACTCTTATCCTGCTACAGTCTCTAAGTTCTTATACTTTCACAAGGCACAAATAGTAAAAAGTTACGAAAAAAATATTTCCTAAGCTGTCTTTCCCTCTATTCAGCAGCACCCACTCCAGGCTATGCTTGTTCTCGGACGTGGCACTGAAGGGCCTCCACAGGCACTGGCCTCAGTTCCTCCTAAGCACAACATCATCTCACACTAAAGACCCCCGCGGACAAAGACTGCACTGTTTGAAAATATTTTTGCCATCAGAAGAACAAAAACAATAACACATAAATACATTAAACAAATGGCTCTCTCCTTGCCACTAATAGATAACATTTCTTCCTTACAGGTACCAGAGATTTGAAAAGGCATTTCTGTTAGCTGTTGACATTGGTGCCCGAGACCTGTTTATGGTGAGTCATTCCCAGAGATGATTTTGTGCCTTCAGTTCTAAGGCTGAGTAAGTTGTCAGCTTTTGTGACCATTAAAAAGGATTAGTGTCATGTGTGCCTTAGACACATGGTGGGAAAGCATTATTCCATCTTGGCTTGCAGCCTTGCCTTCATGGAACTGGTCAATAGCCATCCAGTTTCTTTTGACTTGTTGACATTTTCCCTGCCAGAGCCCAACGGATTTTTTAATGTTTTCTAAGAATTTATAATTCTTGAACTTTTCTCCTCATGTACCTTGATGTGAGGAGATGACACCTTTCTAGCTAATAAGCTTAAATGTCTTTCTAATCCATTCTCTGAAGTACAGATACAGAAGCTAGGACATAGGGTCCCATACATCTTGAATGTGCTCAGTCTGTCCCTTAGATTTTAGTGCAAAGTAACAAATTCTGAATGTTCTCACTTGTATTTTTAAAGTAACCACAGTGTAAAGTAGACCAAAGAGGTTATAAATTCACATATACTTTAGTCCTCCCATTTATTAGCTATAAACAGTAAAATCTAGTTTTTTACAGATCCTTGTGCTCTATATTAGGTTCTTATAAGATCTTTCACCCCAATGTCACAGTGAGATCACACGAACAAAAAAGGTAGGGTTCCTTTTCTGGTTTCTCAGTGTGTTCATTGTCGAGGAAACAATAAAACAAAAGCTTCTTGAAAACAACAAAAACTGGAAGGCTCTTTTACCTGAATCTTCTGCACAATGAAGACATTTGTAGTTTAAATTAAGCTTTGATGCTTTAGATGTTAAATATGAATTCACTAGAGGCCTAATGCACGAAATTCATGCATGGGTAGGGTCCCTAGGCCTGGCCGGTGATCAGGGCTGATCTGTGGGGTGACTGGAGGGGCGATCCGAGGGGCCCCCCCTGGCACCTGCCTTGGCCAACCTGGCGCTGCCCACTCACCTCCCCATCCCCTGCCGCCGCCGCCGGTCACCTCCCTATGCGGGGCGATCAGGGAGGGGCCCCCACTGGCACCCACCTTGGCTGGCCTGGGGCCTGCGGGCTGGAGGCATCTCCCGCTTGAATGTCTGCCCCCTGCTGGTCAGTGTGCATCATAGCAACCGGTCATTCCACAGTTCAGTTGATTTGCATATTAGGCTTTTATTATGTAGGATGACGTTAGGTCACTTGTCTTCAGATTGAGTTTATTATTTAAATTCTAACTTTTCATCATTCAATTAAATTGTGCTTTCACTGATCATGAAAAAATTCTAATTACTGCAAAAGTATGAACCTTCTGTTATTTGTTATCTGTATTTTGCTATGTCAAATTGAGTAGGCATATTAGTATACTGAGGTAAGGTTTTCTATGCATGCTGACATCACAGTGTCTGAAATTTAATGACAACAATTTTTAGATTTTTCTAATCACATTGACTTTTCCTCTTTATCTCCACTTTCTCACCTCTGCTACTACTCACCCCAGTAGGATATATTTTTTTCATGTCTTTATTTTTTTTATGTCTATAGTCCCAATCTTTTTCTAGCCAAGATAAGAACTGAAGAGATTGTATATTTAAATGTATAGTGTCTGGCAAACTTTCTCAATATATTATATTGTTGTATAATTTCTACTGCTTTGACAATTAATACATAATCATCAAAGCCATCTTCTAAACGTTTTTTAAAAAAATCATACCTGTTTCCGCATTTAGTCTCAGGTTAGCTAGTAACAATATAAAGTCTTCATGTTGTTTTAAACTCCTAGTCCAAACCTTTCTACAGAAAGGCTAACCCTAACCAATAAGGATTTTTATGTGTAAAAGATAAGAACCTAAAATAAGGGAAGGAGAGAAATAAGTTTACTTTCTTTTTTATTTGTAAAAGTGAACAATCATTGTCAGAAAGCTGCATCTTTACTCTTCACATGTAACTTATTTGCAGCCCAAGGTGTATCTTAAGCATTATGAGCCTTAAGGGAGCATCATGGCCTCAACATTCCAATTTAGGTTCATGAATCTTCTATATACATTTGAGGCTCCACGTTGAAATTGTCTAAAAGCATGTTTTCTAATAGATCAACTATTCCTGTTTAAATTATTATCTAGCCAGAGGTCTATAGGTCTAGCCTATATACTGAGAAATATCACCTCTTTATATTTAAAAGTTTATAAAATAAACAGAATTATCCCTAATATAAATTATGTTCTATTCCCAAGATATCTTTTCCTGAAAAACTAAAATTAACACTACATGGAACACAAAGGGATCACCAAAAATATGTATTAGCTATAATCTGCAAATAGTCTTTTTGCATTAGCATCTATCAGTGGTAGAGAGATAAAAGACATATAGCATGATAGCAACAGACCTTGAATATTCAAAAGTCAATATGAACATTCTGGACCTGAGAAAATGTGTCTGAAATGATCCACCTCTTCCCTTTTCAGGGTAGCCTATGTGATCATCTAAACTAGGTGTCAGCAAACTATGGCCTGCCAGCCAGGTCCATCCCAGAAATGGTTTTTCATAGTTTTACATTTTCAAGACATGTCAAAATAATAGTATTACATGACACTTAAGAGTATATGATATTCACCCAGTAGGGAGACGTGCAGGGGGCAGCCGACTGATGTTTCTCTCTCTCCCTCTCCCTTCCTCTCTAAAAACCAATAAAAACATGTTCTTAAAAAATATAAGGGAAGTTTTATTGGAACACAGGCAAACTCACTTGTTTATATGCTGTTTATGACTGCTTTTGCTCTACAATGGCAGAGTTGAGTAGTTGCAAGAAACCATATGGCTTGTAAATCCTAAAATATTTACTATCTGGGTCATTACAGAAAATTTTTACAGACTCCTGGTCAAGAAAGTGATAATTTATTACTTCAGTCCTCTATTTAAAACCCTTTAGTAGCTTCCTATTGCCTTTGGAATAAATTCTAACTCCTTTCTTTTTTAAAAATTAAATCTTTATTGTTCAGATTATTACATTTGTTCCTCTTTTTTCCCCCCATAACTCCCCTCCTCCCAGTTCCCGCCCCACCCTCCGCCCTCACTCCCCACCCACTGTCCTCTTCCATAGGTGCACGATTTTTGTCCAGTCTCTTTCCGCATCTCCCACACCCCTTTCCCCCCCAAGAATAGTCAGTCCATTCCCTTTCTATGTCCCTGATTCTATTATGATCACCAGATTATTTATTCACTTGATTCTTAGATTCACTTGTTGATAGATGCATAGTTGTTGTTCATAATTTGTATCTTTACCTTTTTCTTCTTCTTCCTCTTCTTAAAGGATACCTTTCAGCATTTCATATAATACTGGTTTGGTGGTGATGAACTCCTTTAGCTTTTCCTTATCTGTGAAGCTCTTTATCTGACCTTCAGTTCTGAATGATAGCTTTGCTGGATAAAGTAATCTTGGTTGTAGGTTCTTGGCATTCATCACTTTGAATATTTCTTGCCATTCCCTTCTGGCCTGCAAAGTTTCTGTTGAGAAATCAGCTGACAGTCGTATGGGTATTCCCTTGTAGGTAACTGGGTTTCTTTCTCTTGCTGCTTTTAAGATTCTCTCTTTGTCTTTTGCTCTTGGCATTTTAATTATGATGTGTCTTGGTGTGGTCCTCTTTGGATTCCTTTTGTTTGGGGTTCTCCGCGCTTCCTGGACCTGTAAGTCTATTTCTTTCACCAGGTGGGGGAAGTTTTCTGTCATTATTTCTTCAAATAGGTTTTCAATATCTTGCTCTCTCTCATCTTCTGGCACCCCTATAATTCTGATGTTGGTACGCTTGAAGCTGTCCCAGAGGCTCCTTACACTATCTTCGTATTTTCGGATTCTTTTTTCATTTTGCTTTTCCAGTTGGGTGTTTTTTGCTTCTTCGCGTTTCGAATCTTTGACTTGATTCTTGCGCTCCTCTGGTCTGCTGTTGGGTGTCTGTATAATATTCTTTATTTCAGTCAGTGTATGCTTAATTTCTAGTTGGTTCTTTATCACAACATCGAGGGTCTCATTAGATTTCTTGAGGATCTCATTACATTTATCGGCGGTCTCACCAGTCTTTTCGAGGGCCTTACTAAGTTTATCGGCAGCTTCTAGACAGTTCTTGAGAGACCTTAGAAGTGTGGTTTTGAGCTCTATATCTTCCATTTCTGACATTTGCGTCCTGTTTCTTTGTCTCCGCATTTTTATATCTTTTCTTGATGCACCCCCTAGTGGTCTTTGTGCGCAGTCTTGTAGTTAAGCCTTGATTGTTGTCGGTAATACCAGGGGTGATTTGACCTCCAGGCTAACTGGCTATGAGAGTCAGCTGTGTCTGCAGTGGGAGAGCTTCTGTGCTGGATCTCTAGGGCGGTGCTAATCTAGCCTTTGCCTGAGGCTATCCGGCAAATGGCTCTGCACAGGGCTTGGGCGGGGCGGGTCCCTGGGGATCTACAGGGCGGGCCGGATTGAGCAGTTATGGCTGCTCTCAGTTCCTTCCCTAGGGGCTCTGCCTCTCAGAGTCCCAGCAACCGCTGCAAACCTCGGAGAGAAAGCTGCCTTTGAGTTCCGACTGAAGCCAGACAGTCCCGCTTCTCCCGTTTGAGTCTGGGTCCCCAGAGACTCGCCCGGATCTGGAGCTCAGAGTCTGAAATTCCCTCCCGATTGAAAGCACCAACCGCGCTCTCCGCCGCCAGCCCGCTCGCGCACACTCCGCACCTGAGTATTTCACTTCAGCACTGCGCCTCCGTTGAGTCTGGGTATGATATTCTCTTTCCTCCTAGTTGTAGAATTTCCACTCAGCCAGCCTTCCTGTGGTTCTGGATGATGTCCGTTCTGTCCTTTAGTTATATCTCTGAAGTGGTTGTTCGAGGCAGCAATCTCCGGCGTTAACCTATGCCGCCATCTTGGTTTCTCCTCTAACTCCTTAATATGCCTCTCCAGTCTCATCCCTCTGCTTTCCAGCTACATTATCCTTCTTTCAGTTCTGGGAAATATGTTGTACTCCTTATTATGTCCAGACCATGTTAAGGAGTTTA